TGGCATGCACGCATATCTTGACATAAACGCAATTTAAACATACTCTGCGCGAAAGTCTACACAAAGTCAAACTCACATAATATTCTGTTTTTGTTTTAACACCATTTGAAAGCAAGCACACACATAACACTACTTCTGAAACGAATTTGACAATCTAACTGGCACATGTACATAATTCTCCCAAAACGGGATAATTTTTAAGATGTACATGTACACATTTATAGCTGAAATTAAGAACTAATATTAAAATCAGCTAATACTTTATGTACCAGTAATATTGGGTGGCTTTGAGGGGGATACAAGAATATATGGCACGAGCTATAACAATTACAGCGAGTGCAATATATTCTTGCATTCCCGAAAAAAAACCATCTAATATTATTAGTATTATTTATATTAGGCTGACTTGATCCGCAAGAAATACATTTCAGGATACTGTCTTTAGTTCTCAAATTTCGTTGAATTCTCTGCTTTACCGAAGCAAATTTTGTGCCGCTTAAAGCTGCCACTGTGGTGGATGACAACAGTGCGTGCTTACCCTGGTAGTGCTGTGCGCTGCGTCCGCGTGCAGGCCTGATGGTACCGCGCGTTACGCTCCGTTGATTGGTTGACAACTGTTTCTACGCTCTAGCTGGTGCGGGAACCATAAAAAAATGCCTGGATGACTGCAATATCAAAAACGATATTGCAGTCATCTAGGTACTTTACTGACATAATCTTGCAGCCATCCGGTACTTTTTACAAAAACATTCAATACGCGAATTTATTTTTGACGCCGGAAGCCTGATATAAATAATAATTTGAAATATTTTGGCTAGAGACATTGCACATTGTATGTACATATACATGTACAATCTGGTGTGTCTACTACATGTATGCATCACAGTGTTAACATTACCAGTCTAACGCAAGTAACATTCATATGAATTTGACATGCACATATGCAGAAAACTCAATTTACATTCACTGCCACTTGTACCAAATGTTGTAATATGGGCCTTATCACGAAATATAAACTCACGCTTTTCCAGGCAATTACAATAATCAAAGTTCAATTTACAACTGTGGCTTGTTGGCAGTTTCTCTCGTTTCCCTCCATTGAGCCGTGAAGAAGATGGGAACGGACCGTGAAAGCGTGTGCTTCCTTGCACGTAATTCCTGGCACGTGAAGTTTTACACACGCGGGCAGGCAACACAGAGAGATGCAAGCGCGTTGTTCACGCACCGTCTATCCCTGATTCCCGAGGAACACATTCAAGGACTGCGAATGATAGAATGACGAACACGGCGCAGAGAGGCCGAAACCATGCTGAATAATTCCACTCCAGCAAACAGTACTTGGATCATTGTAAAACTCAGCAGTTGAATACAAATGTCCAATGCAGCAAGTACTTCTCCATGTACACGTACCAAGAATACACTGCCGTTTTTTAACAAAATGGACGAGCCTCTTTGAATTCATGTACGGTACATGTACACTTATCATACATGCACACTACTTTTTTACGCTCCAGGTTAGATCAAATTTCTAAAACACATTTCACAAGAGTGTACTCTTCGCTAGAAGGAAAAAAACAAGGCACGCGGACTCCACAAAAATCGATGTTGTATCTGTTCCCAGGAACGTGTGGTTTGCGACGATCAATCCGCGCCAGTTTATCACTCAATTTGGAGGGAATCCAAGAAGATCGGCTCTTAGTACATCCGGCGACGATCGAAAGAGGCTGCGCCGACGAAACCCAAATCGTCGGGCGATACGAGCCAGTCGGATTAAAAAACCTCGGCAGTGCCGCAGCCGCAACATGATTGGTTTTGGGTTTCGGGGCGGAGCGGAGAAAAAAAAAACCACAAGAGAAACTAGACTTTGATGATTGAAAGATCACTCTAGCCGCCACTGACAGTCCAATTAGTCAGGGACAAGTGCAGTCTCCCTTTACAGAAAATAAGTCCAGAACTGCATTGGTTATAAAACACGGCACTGCGCACACTTTAAGCAACAGCTACAAAATTCAAGATTCGCAGCGCGTTTGCGAAATAAACCAGGGTGTTTTCATTAGCCATCTTATTAAATTCTGCAGGTTCACCAGGATGTCAACTCGAGTGAGCATTGGGTAATATGAGTGGACAAGGAATAAGGATGATGCGCTGTAGTCGTCAGAATATTTATATAGGTGCGTGCAGCACGTCTTTATGTGGCTGAAGAAAAGTTGTTACAATCCTTGGGGCAAGATTTTCCGTGCATTTCCCCAGCTGCCCTTACTAGTCAACGAGCAAAGAAAAACCCAAGGCGAGGGGCATTTGTCAAAGTGGCATGCTTGTAAGGACTCAAAGATAATCTTACATGTATTGTACGTCTCAGGGTACATTTTTTTGGAGGTTTTTTTGCCTAGATATGTCTCGTCCTGAAGTTAATGCAGAGAGCTGCAAGATTTTTTTTTAAATCTTCTGAAATTTCAACAGCAAATTGCAATTTTGAGACTCAGGGGAAATTTTCAGGAAATCAATGAATAAGATGAACTTTTTTTTTTTTTTTTTTTTGACAGGCGCAATTTTGTAGACGATTATGCCATGGCTTTTCTTACCGGTTATTATAATGTAGAATAGCAGATTTTCCCATGCGAAATTTGCATGGGAAAAATAACCCAATGTGTTTACAAAATGTATAATTTGCTGTATTCATGTACATGTAATAACAGTATCTTGTACTTTGACTCTTGGTCAGTTCCATGCGTCACTGACATTACTGGGTTTTTTTTTTTTTAAAGATGTAATGTCCGTGACGGAGCCAACAGATCTTATGCATTTGATGTCATCAGTCCTATAGAGAGATGCACAACGTGACCTCACTGAGGTCAAATCTTGCATATAAGTTTACTGTGGGAAAATGGCTGTGCATACCCTCTATTAACCCTAACCCTCCTCAATCCTCCAAAATCATCCTTGTGGTTTTGGAGGATTTTGGAGGATTGAGGCTGAATGGTTTTTTTTTTTTAGATTTTGGAGGATTGAGGCTGAATGATATTTTTCAGAAAAGGATTTTGGAGGATTGAGGCTGAATGGTATTTTTTCAGAAAAGTATTTTGGAGGATTGAGGCTGAATGGTATTTTGAGGCAGGACTGTCTGACGATTTTGAAGGATTGAGGGGCTGGGTACCCTTCATTTGAACATTACGTTGTTGTAAGTGCAACATTTTTGGATGAGGAGGATTTTGGAGGATTGAGGATGAATGCATTTTGAGGCAGGACTTTGAATTTTGAAGAATTTAGGAGTTGTTGGAGGATTTTGGAGGATTGAGGATGGTTCCTGGCAAAAAGGCCTAGGGGGTTAGGGTTAACCATGATATGTAATCAATGATTCAGATAAATGATCTGAAACTCCTAATGTTTAACTTCCTTGAACATTCAATGAATTACGATGGACGTACGTGTACAATGTAAATTTGTTTAATTATACAAAATGTATTCACTGAGGTCCTAAAGTACAAAAACATTTGTCTGATTTGTAATGTTCGAGACACCGGAATTTCCGAATTGCAAATCATTTTTGTTCAGAATAAAGTCAGTTTTTGTAAAAAGGTGTTATTTTCAGACTCATGACATGTTTCGTTTGGCTGAATATTTTTTAATTTTATCCACGGAACCATTATACAATTGTACGTGTACGAGGACCTATCCCCTGTAGTACAATAATAAACCCAAGCAACTGGCAGAAAATGGTCCATTAAGATATCACTTGCTTCAACGACCCCAGAGCATCCAGACAACTCTATCATGTCTACGCTCACGTTCACCGAGGGACAAGATTATGTCAAGAGTGCTCTCAAAAACATGGCTTCGGGTTTTTCTATTCAAAGGGGTAAAAAATGGACTTATTTTTTTTTTTTTTCTCGGTGCATTTGTAATTCCCCAAGGTGTTGCAATTTCCTGTTGGCAGCAGGGCGGCAGATGTCAGCTTAAAGAGTTGCTGTTATTATTATCAAACGCGGCACTTTTTGTGAATTTGCGGCAGCTCTTTGACGACGAGATCTCATCAATTTCACCTCAAAGCTGATCTGGGTGCATTGGCGCAATCGTGCGCAGATGATAATTAGCCGGGAAAGAGGGCGATAGAATAGAAGATAGGGACAATACTTAAATCATTCCAACCCCACCCCCCCAAAAAATAAAACCACCCCAAAACAGATCTATAATAAAAACTAGAATCATGTTTCATTTGGAATGTTTACATTTTTGAAAATATGACAGAGGTACAACATCAGAACTCTGTAATTACACGAAAAAGAGAACATGGGCAGATAGTTTACACACTTTGACCGAAATCTTGCTGAATTCTTTGTACTAAAACCTTTGCGGGGCACAAATAATTGCTGGGCTGCTCATACAATCCTACAAAATCCTCCAAAATATCCTGCTTAATTTTGAAGGATGAAGGAGATCAGGGTCAAAGACAGTGTACTGTCCATGCTTTTTTTAATTCTTTTTTTTAGTATTTTAGAAAAAAAAGTCAGTTTTTTCCAACGATGGTTAGCCGACCATCACTGGAAATTGATACAAAAATTCCACTTTTCTTAAAAATGGCAGCACACCAGGTGCCGTGATTTCACAGGATGCTTGAGACTATTATTCACTCACAGTCAAGTAAGGTACCAGGTCATTTCATAATAAATTTTGTAGTTTTATTGTTGTTGATGTTTTCAAATGTGGTGACTTTAACAGACAGTTTAACCTTGTGCTCTGCAGCACTGCGAAGCAAGGATTTCAGAATCCAAATCACTGTTGTTGAGAAATCAGACACCTGCAACCATTGTATAACATCCAGGAGAAAGAAAATCTCCAAGGGAGAGCTAATTTAACTTGAAATAGACACCGCAGCTTGATGCCACAGACACACATAAGAAAAAAAACCGGGTCTGTGACCTAGACAGTTCAAAGTTTGCCTTGGGACGGAGACTTAAAACAATAATCACAAAAGGGGGCGAAGGCAAAATCGTCGAATGACGCTAAGATCCGGCTATATTTGAGGCACTCCCGCTGATACGGGTCAGGAGTTTTCTCCAACGAAACTGGAGCCGAATCAACATGGAGTCCTGCTCGTGCCAGACAATAACCTGAAAGAACAAACCCATTTCAAATCACCTAGATTGTATAACAAACTGTGCAGTATTCCCCTCGAGGTGGTCTTAAATAGTCCCTAGCGAAACTTTTTTTTTGTGTGTTCGAAATTTCACGTTGAAGCTTGAATAATCACCTGAAAACTCAAAGAGTCACCTTGAACCTTGGAACGAGTCACTTTTGACTAGTTTGACAAAATAGCGGTACTCTGATAAAGAAACCATTCTCAATTGACTACTTCGGCAACACAACAGCCATTTTGCTGAGGTGGCACTGCGGTGGCACCAGGCTTGCGCGAGTCGCGCTCAGGTGGTGTGTGCACACACTCTGGGCTACTTCGGCCAATAGTGTTACTAAAATGTGTGCGCGCCTCGTATTTAAGAACAGCAATCAAATTTGAAAAAAACTAGTGAAGTATATCTGAAAATAGCATCTTCTTCCAATCATCTCAAACAAAAAACCAAAATTTACAGAAAAGGATCAATGCTATCAGAAGTTATGAACATTTTACTGAAACTAAAGAACCAATTTTTATAACTGTCCATGAAATGCCATTAGAGTCTATTGAGCTGAGTGACAATTACAGATTACACACAAACATTATGTTAAAGCTGAGAGTCCATCATTTGCAGCTATCCAAAAAGTAACTGGCATTATTATTGTTGAAAAACATACTTGGTTGAAAGATAGTGAGGGGACTAAACTCCCCGTGAAATTATTCTTTCTGGCAAGCTGTTACATTTGTACTTTGAAGAAATCAACGAAGGAAGGCCTTTCAAATTAGTAGTTCGTTTTGTTATTTGAGAAGCGCAAGCAAGCATTAGCACGACGTATGCGCACGCGGTTGCTATAATTCGTCGGATCAGTGCACGACATCGCGTAGCTGCAATCGGCTCAGTGAGAACGTGTCTCAGACGCTGAATTCAGGCCCAATTCAAAACATGATTCAGCAACTTTTGATTTGAAATCGAGATCCTAGAACGTTGTTTTTGTTTGTCTCGAAATAAACAGCTAAAGCTGAGCTGAAACTTCATCAGGTCAGTTGTTCAGCAACCCTTCTTTAGATTTTGAGCACTTTTGTTGCTTCAAACGAACAAAATGCACAAATTACAAATGATGGACTATACCTTTAATCATCTAAATCAAGACTGAATTTTTTTTTACTGTCAAATTCTGTGTTTTGAATATGTGGAACAAGTTAGCAATTTTTTTTCTGAAACATTAATGGTGGTTTTGGTGTAATTCCTTTGCAAGTCCTCCTCCATTCATCGAGGTGGGAAAAGGTCCATGTTTCATAATGGATATTCATCAGTTCATAGAAGGGTAAATGATCAGTGGTGGACAGCTGAATTTCGTGACCTTCATATTAAAATAGACGTAACCTTGGGAATAGAGTATGCAAATTACTTGAAAATATATAGTCAATAACATACACACTTAAGGCCAAAAAAAAAAAATATTCGGTCTCTGGTCAGACCAAAGTTCCGGAATTGACGCGGGGACGCGGCCTTTTTTTTTTTTTCTTCAAGCTTGGATTGTACAGACAAGGTGGGGTACTATCTTGTTTTTTTGGTGTCCTCATGTACATGTACATTGGTGTCCTCCATAATTTGCCTTGGTGCTCTCGATCATTTGCCTTGGTGCAATTTCCTATTCCTTGGTGCTCTTTGGGAAAAAAAATTGAGGAAGTGCGGTAATAGAGGGCGCTGTTGGAGCTACCGCGGAACATTTTGGAAAAAAAAAAAGATTGACGCGCATGATTAAAATCGACTCGCGCGCTGACCAGAGACCGACTTATTTTTTTTGTTGGCCTAATGAGTATTTTTTTTATGAAATGGAACTTGTAAGCCACATATTTTTAAATATTTTCTCTACTTCGGTAACTTTGTTTTTGACTCACCTTGTACAAGTTGAACCCTTATTCGTATTATTTCCTCAGCGTACTGGTATATCACGTTTGACATGTTTATTTCAATGTTTCCAAGTTACGATTTCGACAAAATGCCACGTTTGAAACAGCAAAAAAGACAAACTAATGCACACAACTAGCTGAAATTCAGCTCATGCTGAATATGCAACGATAGGTTTTTGATAATGGAAGAATTCCCCACCATATTGCACTTGATTCATCTGTGAAAATGGCAACTATTTTAAATCGTCACCATTTTGACAAAGTGACAAATCCGTCCAAAACCGACATTTTAAGCAATCTGAGATTTTTGGATGTTCGAACATTTTATGATGTCCTCTACATGATTACCAAATTTCGAGACACAAAATTTCATCGTCTGTTAATTACCCTACCAGTAATTACACAAAGTAATGAAAAGTGCAACACACTCAGTTTTTCATATGACAAAGTAACATTTTCGTCACTAGTCTCATTGATTTAACACCTGTGCTATATTTAGATTTACGTAGCCTCCACAATTTGCATTTTGACCAAGTGACGAATCTGTGTTCTAAAATAAATTTTATATGCGTGCCCTGTGTACAAACATATGCCACATTCATGTGACAAGTAGAATTTCCGTTTTGACAAAGCGACAAATATCTTTAGTAATTATTGTCTACTAATTAAACACGATTTAATGAAAACAGAGAATTTTGTTTGGCTATATAAACTACTGGGCTATCAACTCTGGGGGAGAAATGTCTGCCAAAGTGTGATTTGAAAAATCGACCAACGTCATTTAAGCGATTTTCTCAAAACTCTGTTTTGCAGCTGCGTGCACAGATTTGTCACTTCGTCAAAATGGTGACAATATGTATGGTGACGATATGTACTATGAACACAGTGTGATTCACTAAGCCAGTAATGTTCTCCACTTTTCGCAGAGAATATACAAAAATCCTATCAGACAGACTCACAGCAGAGCACACCTGTAGGTGCTTCACACACGTGTTGGCGCTAGCAGATGCTCCAATTCAAGACAGTCGACTCAATTCAAAAGTTTCCAAAATGTACAATATCGCCAATCCTCCCCATTATACCCTGAAGTACCAGATTATTGCCACAGCAATACAACTTCATCAAACTCAACAATCTTTCAAACTTTAATTGTCTCAATGACCTTGCTGTAATTGGAAGAAAAAAAATCTTGTGAGTGTTCTCTTTTTTTAGAAAGGATTTTCCCACAAGTTTCCTACAGTTCAACTCACTATCAGAGACCTTGCCTATTACAAAAGATGCAGGTGGTTTACCCCTCTCGAAAGGACGAGGAAAAATGAAAGAGGTGGGGAAAAGCTTAGTGTATGACTGCCATCCAATAGAGTTAGCTTACACAAAACAACTATCGTAGGACATTACCTTGTCGATAACATCAGGTGTTTTCTCTTCTTGGTTTTATTTTTTTTACAACTTCGGCAATGGGCATAATTCTGGCATAATTCCATAAATGTGGGGTCCACTTTTTTTCCTGTCCCTGCTTCATTTGACATCTAAAACTTAATAAATCTGGCTGCAATCATTAGCTCTAACCTTCCCAAATCCTCCTAATTCCTCTTTGCAAAAAGGATGGATTTTGCAGGATTGAGGCTATATGGCAACAATGTGTGGCTGATTTGGAAGAATGCCCTGTGTCAAGGTCTTGGGCCGGACCTTGTGTTGTTAATGCTCAGCCGTGTATACATTTAGGCCTAGATTATACTTGAAATTCTCTGCACAGCTCCAGGATGTCACTGGCTCTGCTTGAACATATGGACAGTGATTGCTGGAGGATTTTGTAGCATTGAGGCAGTGGTCACCCCTCCAAGGAGCACACTCAAGAAACAATGGAGGATTTTGCAGGATTGAGGCTACATGCAATTTTTACATCGAGGCAGTAGGAGAATTTTGCAGGATTGAGGTTGCATCCTAGCAAAAATGCCTAGGGAGTTAGGTTTAAGTTAATGCAGATCGACTTCCTCTAAGAGAGATTATGAATAGTAAAACCTATACCCAACATTAACAAGAAAAAAATTGTTTGAAGTCATTCTTAATGCTACTTGAATGGCAAATGACAAAGTTCAGACGAAACGGGGACAGAAGCAATGTCACACATTGGACACCAAATTTATAGAATGACACAAATTCATGTAGACTACAGAGCATGAAGAAGATTTGACAAGTTTTTGGTTTCTTTCTTTTACACTGTCAGCAGCAGATAAACGTGTAACTTCATGTAGATATTTCAGGTAACAGAGAAAAACCGTCAGCATTAAATAAAACTGTAAACATTCTTCAACATAAAATTAAAAACTATAAGAACAGACAACATTTGAGATTCAATTCAACAGTTTCATAGGTCGTCCCTGAACATGAAAATCCTCCGCAGCGATTCAGGGACCCCCAAACACCCACGCCAAAGGCGATCCATAATTTGACAACAAACGCCCACTCCAGCGATCGAAAAGAGACGCCCTTTGGGCCACGGCAGAGCTCTCCTGTGGAGTTTACTGGGTGTATAATGTCAGCCAGCGGCTCAGCACAACGGAGCCATCGACCATGACTATTGCTTACCGACTGTCTGGCTTTTTCCTGTTCAGTGATTAATACACTTTGATCATATGACCAGTCTAACTCAGGGGCGCTAGTTGGAGTGTTTTTGAAACCACGGCTTTGACTCCAGCATCGGCATACTGCTCGGGCTTCAGAATCATTAAAAGCAAACCAACTGGAAGATGACGTGGCCAAATTTAGTTAGCCCACATTTTGTTTGCCACCGTTTACACATCCGTGAATGGACGGAGCAAGCTGGTCTGGTTCCCTGACCTGAAAATCACCTGACCCCTGACCGGACAGTTCCCCCGCCCTCTGTCTAACTCCATTTCGTCTGAAGTAGAGTCACGGAACCTGACCACAAGAACAGTATTTTTCTCTTGGTTTTTCGGACATCTACAAACAAAAACCTTAAACAGGTCAAACCAACCCCCCAAAATCCACCCATTTCTCATGCATAAGACCTAACAATATTTGAGCTCAATGCCATTGCAAATGAAGAAGTTTTATATACAT